AGAACTAATTCTTGCAGTTATTGAATGTACGTAGGGTCAGTGATGTTAAGCAGATAGAAAAGCACTTAGCTGAGGCATTAACATCTGATCCCAGGATTTGAGGTTGACATTGCAAAATTGAAAAGGTATAAATCGCCAGGTAGTGATCAAATTCCGGCAGAACTTTTTCAAGCAGGAGGCGAAATATTACGTTCTAAGATCCATAAGCTAATTACTTCAATTTGGCATAAGGAAAAATTGCCTGATCAGTGGAAGGCATCTATTATTGTACCAGTTCACAAGAAGGTGATAAAACTCACTGCAGTAATTATCGGGGGATATCACTGCTATCGCCTTCATACAAAATTTTATCCAATATTCTCTCAAGGTTAAGTCCATATATAGATGTAATTATTGGGGATCATCAGTGTGGGTTTCGATGTAACAGATCAACTGCAGATTAGATCTTTTGCATTCATCAGATACCGGGGGAAAAAATGGGAGTACGATGAGACAGTACATCAGCTATTCATAGACTTCAAGAAAATCTATGATTCAGTTAGGAGGGAAGTATTGTACACTATCTGATAGAGTTGGGGGCACCTATAAAACTAGTTAGGCTGATCAAAATATGTTTAAACGAAACGTATGATATCCGTATAGGTAAACATTTGTCCCATAAATTTTCTATCCAGAATGGTCTAAGACAATGAGATGCTTTATCGTCACTACTTTTCAACTTTGCTTTAGAATATGCTATTAGGTAGGTCCAGGAAAACCAGGTGGGACTGAAATTAAATGGGACACATCAGCTGTTGGTCTATATCGATGATGTGAATCTNTCAGAGGCATTTATAGTAGAAAAAGAAATCACCAACACACAAAACTTCACTTTGTCCAAGATAGCCACGTTCCAGTTAATTAAAATAACTACAAATTGGTTAGTGTGACGGACCAGAATGAAAGACCTTAAACAATGAGATGCTTTATCGCCACTACTTTTCAACTTTGCTTTAGAAANCATTCATCAGATACCGGGGGAAAAAATGGGAGTACGATGAGACAGTACATCAGTTATTCATAGACTTCAAGAAAGTCTATGATTCAGTTAGGAGGGAAGTATTGTACACTATCTGATAGAGTTGGGGGCACCTATAAAACTAGTTAGGCTGATCAAAATATGTTTAAACGAAACGTATGATATCCGTATAGGTAAACATTTGTCCCATAAATTTTCTATCCAGAATGGTCTAAGACAATGAGATGCTTTATCGTCACTACTTTTCAACTTTGCTTTAGAATATGCTATTAGGTAGGTCCAGGAAAACCAGGTGGGACTGAAATTAAATGGGACACATCAGCTGTTGGTCTATATCGATGATGTGAATCTACACAAACTTTAATTGACGCAGGTAAGGAGGTTGGTCTAGAAGTAAACACAGAGAAAACTAAGTATATGTTGCTGTCTCGTCACCCAAATGCAGGGCAAAATCATGACATAAAGACAGGAAACAGATGTTTTGAAAATGTGGCACAGTTCAGGTATTTGCGAATAACTATAACAAATCTAAACCTGATTCAGGAGGAAGTTAATAGGAGACTGAATTCAGGTAATGCATGCTACCATTCAGTCCAGAACCTTCTGTCTTCTCATCTCCTGTCAAAAAACATAAAGGGACGCTGCGGTTCTGTATGGGTGTGAAACTTGGTCTCCGACATTAAGGGAGGAACACAGTCTGAAGGTGTTTGAGAANAAATGCAGGGCAAAATCATGACATAAAGATAGGAAACAGATATTTTGAAAATGTGGCACAGTTCAGGTATTTGCGAATAACTATAACAAATCTAAATCTGATTCAGGAGGAAGTTAATAGGAGACTGAATTCAGATAATGCTTGCTACCATTCAGTCCAGAACCTTCTGTATTCTCATCTCCTGTCAAAATCATAAAGGGACCCTGCTGTTCTGTATGGGTGTGAAACTTGGTCTCCGACATTAAGGGAGGAACACAGTCTGAAGGTGTTTGAGAACAGGATGTTGAGGCGAATATTTGGACCAAAGAGAGATGAAGTGACGGAAGGTTGGAGGAAACTGCATAATGAGAAGCTTCATAACTTGTGCTCTTCTCCAAGTATAATTAGAATGATCACGTCAAGGAGAATGAGGTGGGCATGGAATGTAGCACGAGTGGGGGAGACGAGGAATGTATGTAGGATATTGGTGAGAAAGCCAGAAAGAAAGACCACTGGGAAGACCAAGGCGTAGGTGGGTGGACAATATTAAAATGGATCTTAGAGATATATGATGGGATGATATGGATTGGATTGATCTGTCTCAAGATGGGGACCAGTGGAGGGCCCTTGTGACGACGGTAATGAAATTTCGGGTTCCATAAAATGCTGGGAAATTCTTGAGTAGCTGCAGAATTGGCGGTTCCTCAAGAAGGGCTCAGCTCCATGAGTAAGGAAAAATATACAACTAGGCCTGTTGATATCGATTAGGGCAAATTTTTGAGAATCTATAAGCAAGACAAATATTTATTCACTGGAAAATGGTAGAGAAATAATTTCTGGCGCTCTGTTGAGACTCTTAAACCCGCTCGGCCTTCCAGTATTCATTTCTTCCTGCTGTCGTCCTGCTTGTCCTAATCACCCGCGAATTCTGGCGTGTCTAGCTCGGAAACACTCCGACGCCACGACCAAAAAGAATTCTGACCTACTGTTCTGGACAGTAGCACGCTCGTAACACATTTACTAAACTGCATCCCCACAACAGAAGAATACTGAGAATAAGAAGCAGGTTCAGCGAGACAGCGTGGGCGAACCAAACCAGCGTCTTGGGCGGTACATTTTCCAAACCCGTTTCTCCTTCTTCTTATTCCTCCTCTTTCTTTCTTGCCAAACTAAAATTAAATTCTTCTAATCTTTTGTTCACACCGTAACCAATATTTGGCAGTAATTTGAACATGATACGCAAACACAACTGTTTCAAGAATTACGGCACCAGCGAAGGTTTTCGTTACAGTGTCTGGAAATTTCGTGTTTTAACTGGAACAATATTTTGGGTGAACATGTTGCGCAAACACAACTGTTTCAAGAATTACGACACTAGTGAAGGTTTTCGTTATAGTGTCTGTAAATTCCGTGTTTTACCCGAAACAATATTTTGAGTGGACATGTTGCGCAAACACAACTGTTTAAAGAATTATGATACCAGCTAAGGCTTTCATTACAGTGTTTGGGAATTTCGTGTTTTAACCGAAACAATATTTTGAGTGAACATGTTACGCGAAACAACTGTTTCAAGAATTAAGATACCTAAGACGGCTTTCATTATAGTGTCTGGAAATTTCATGATATTAACTCAGATAATATTTTCAGAGAGATGATGTTATTTTAACTAAAAGGAGGACGGCAGAAATGTTTTTCACTAGGGGGCGACCTTTACGCTTGCGCCGACCTTATGAAAAAGCAGTCAAAAACAAAAAAATTGAATGTATTTTAATTGTTTGTGTGAAGTTTAAGTTAACTGCTAAGCCTAATGCTGGGATGACTGGAACACTGTGACCATTTTCTGTGATTCAGTTCCACGTGTCTACGCACCTGAACGCACGAACTGAGTTCGACTGTGTGAATTTATTAAGCAAATTCTAATCCTTTGGCTTCGACGCGAAACTGACATGTGACAAATTTGTGTCATTTTGTGGCATCTGACAGTAAGCTGGAAGCTTGCTTCGTTAAATGATCTGTGTTGCTTTTTTCCTTTGGAGCTACAGCCCAAATTTGGGCCTTGGCCTACCTTCATGAAACTCTCCGTTTCACTTCGGGTTCTGTGTTGTTACTGAGGCAAAACTGGCTGATCAAAATAGTTCGTGCTTGTCCCAAAATTTTCATATGCTACCCAGGAGGAAGACATCCCAGTGGTTAAGAACTAAGATCCTAAGTAGGGGGCGCCATAGTTCAAGCGGTTAGTCGTTGGCTGCCCACCGCGGCGGCCCGGGTTCGATCCCGGGTCTAGTCAAGTGGGATTTGTGCTAGACAAAGTGGTGCGGGGGCAGGTTTTCTCCGAATACTTCCGTTTTCCATGCCAATCTTCATTGCACCAATTGCTCCACAATCACCCTCACCTATCATCAGGAGCTGATACAATAGGCCAGATGTAGCCGCAGTACAAGGGAATTAGTTCCTCTCCACTAACAATAAAAGAAATCCTAAGCATTCAGTAGTTATAATTATCCACTCTTAGCTCATTTAATGACGATGTCTCAAATTCAGAAATCCTACTTATATAGAGTCGAATTGGATGGGAAAAAAAATCCTGAATAGTGAGCGGATAATGATTTCGAAGAAGGCTGTCTACATTATTTTAAAGTACTATTTCAGTATTCTCCTATAAACGCTCTCGAAAGCTACGGTAACCCGGAGGAGTCTCGAACCAGGCACTTCTCAAACATATGTCTAGAATCTTACCTCCACACTAACTGTTTCGATCTCAACATACTTGATATCCTCTGTTACGGAACCGGAATGCTCGTCACATTCACCATATAAGCCCTTATTGGCCACGACCATGACTCAGTTCAATTAAGCAGAGTCAATTGGAGTTAGACGGACGCCTATTCCTTCAGGGTCATTTTAATATTATATTTTTCGAAGCCTATGTCTTTCAGCTGATCTTACGTGAGGTATTACCAAGAAATTGCTGCACGTGTTCTCTGCTGATAGTGTTTTGGTGTAATCAATAACGATTTGTCAATGCCAAGGATCGTACAGTATTGTGTCGGATGTTATAGTTATTCTGAATGGCGGATAGGGGAAGTACACGAGCAGTTCCTGCAGACACAAAAACATATACATACTGACCGGTGTCAGGAGTGATACTGGAATTCGGGGCTTACCGAACACAAAGTAGGAGTACTCATCAACACGCATTTGGTTACTGTGAACTTCTCTTGTATGTGAGTCTATATTTTTCCTGATTAGAAAGATGATCTGAAGTTTGCTGTGCTCTCGATTTTGCAGGCTACAAGATCAGCCCAAAGCCGTGTTCCGTAAACGGCTTGGATGGCACGTGCATGTTTGTTTGGGAGTGCATCAAGACGGAGGGACGCCATGTGGGGATGTGCGTGGACACCTTCATGTTCGGCAGCTGCTGCGCACACAATATCACAGAGAACGCCATCCTGGCCCCGGCCGGTGGCGCCGGCGACCATCCCGACGTACTGTACTCGCCCCCTAGTCATACCGACTCGTCAACGTCGGCACGTCCCTCAGGAAGCACCGTGTTCATATCCCTGGCTTCCAGACCCAACTTTACCACCAGACCGTTTAATTCAATTTCAATGACAAGGCCCTCAAACCTCACCCTGAGGCCCCAACCGGCTTCCACCTTCCTGACGTCCATAAGCATTACGCGACCCGACTTCATGACAAGTAACAACTCCACCTCGTTCTGGCCACTGAGCGAAACGAAACCCCATTTCATGACGCGTCCTCAGGGGTCGGACTCAATATTTATCACGCGACCGACAGCATCCACTCATACGAAACCTTCCTTCACAGCACGGCCCCCTCTGGGTCATTTCATGTCGCCCGCTGAGGACGGGGACATTTCTAGTCCAAGCGTCGTTGAGCTGGAACCCAGTGGAGGCAAGGATCCCTCCAGAGAGGGTGCTTCCCGGCCCCCTGGCGGCACCTCGTCAGTGTAAGTGCAAACATAAATATGAAGTGACACCGGCTGCAATGCTTGAGTAATTCTTAGGAACTTTATTCCACTTTTCATTGTCTGAAGGAGGGATTTGCAAACTTCGTGGTATTGCGACCTCGTAAAATTGTATGTAATTTTATGTTACAGCTTAACAAACTCTTTATACCTATAGAAGACTATATAATGTTCCTGTATAGTCATGTAAATTAATCACAAGATGTTTCGCTACCTGTAGCTATGCCTATATTTTCCGGAGGCATCGACACTGAATCTTCTCGGCTTGACAAAACTGAGTAGATACAGCTAGAATTTAATAATTCTTGAGAACTCGGGGATACCACCACATTTAGAAGAGATAACAACCTCCAAAGGGGTCATGATCAAGAATTTGATAAGCCACGATCTAAAAGATACTTGAATGAAAAACAAAAATGTATACGTTAAAAAGAAAACAACGATGCTGTTGAATTAGGAACATTAGCCACAGAAGCTTTATAAGTTTAATTAGGCCAATAAGAGAAAGTGGGACTTCCGCCAAAGTTCAGCCTCTGCTGCAGTCGGTGAAAATGAGTGGTAATTTTCACGCTTCTCACCTCAGATTCGACAACCCCGCACGCGTTAATATAATTTCCAGTTGCAGATGCATGTGTTTTCTTCATCCCTATGTGTTTGACGTGACGATTGCATGTTCGTTTCGAGAAACAATTAAAACGAAAACACCTTGCCTATTACTTTAATCCTACTGCTGCGATATTCAACGGAAGTCAAAAAACCATCCATTGTAGTACAATGCTACATTTGTCTTCGTTCACTGGGCTATGAAAATACACATTTTGCCTCAAAATTGCGTGGAGAGATGGTTAGGATTAGTCCATCATCAAGTAACATGTAACTATGGGCCGCGCGACAGCTCAAGGGGTTACTCGCTGGCTCCCCACCGCGGCGGCCTGGGTTCGATCCCGGGTCTGGTCAAGTGGAATTTGCGGTGGGCAAAGTGGCGCTAGGGCAGGTTTTCTCCGAGTACTTCGGTTTCCCCTGCCAATCTTCATTCCACCAATTGCTCCACAATCACCCTCACCTATCATCTGGGGCTGGTACAATAGGCCAGAAGTGGCCGCAGTACAAGGGACTTAGTCCCACCCCACTAGCAATAAAAAACATGTAACTATGGGACCGCTATCAATTAAATTCGATGCGATATACCCATCACTCTATTTTATAAATCGTTTCGATCTCGGTTTAGTTTTGTTAAATTTAAGGCTCACTTCACTCAAATTTCCGACGAACATTTTACGTATAGGGCCAAAGAATTAATGTATAAGGGGTGGGCCTGCTTGGCTCTTGCACCGGGACCACAGTGATCTATTGCACTTTGAGTCCTCTGACAAACTGTGATGAAATTCCATAAGTTATACTACGGAATGTCTGTTATTAAGCGTTAACATTTGCAAGCCTGATTCACTTTAGTTTATTTTCAACTCAGTTTCGCTTAAGAGCCTACATATTTCTTTGGGTATTTTTCGCTAAATATTCACTTGAGATAGAATGTCTTGAATATAAATTGGAGGTGTCTATAAAAATATTATCTTTTACAATATTTTAAAAAAGTTTACGAATTTCGAGATCGCTTATGTAATAATTTTATCCGCGTCTACATATTTAGTGTGTGCGCCAACAAAACGGTTGTCCAGACTTCTGAGATGATGCTGATTCTAATACATTTCCTCTATTTAGTACATATTCCGTATACTATACTTGAAGCAGCAAATAAAATTAATGTGTAAAGGAACTGCACCTTTTCAGGGCCACACCGAAAGGAGCATATGATGGCTGTAGACGCAGAAGAATAATGCTACTATTATGTGTGTGTGCAGCAATAGGGACCCACCGCTTCCTGCTGCAGATGGAGAAAGCACGATTCAATCAGCCAGCAGCGCCATCGTGAGCTCGTGGACGCCAGCGCACACGGCCCCAAGCGCCATCTGGCAAGCCACAACGGAACCCGGCTTTGTTACCCGCACACGCCCACCCGCTAGCTCAAGTTCCAGCAAGCCAAGACCAAGACCCACCAGGAGACCGGCAGCACCCACTACCACAAATACGCCTACCACCACTACCGCCCCAACAACCACGACTACTACTACTACCACCACAACCCCGCCTCCGACCACCAGTACCTCTACTACCACCACCACAACCACAACCACCACCACCACCACCACCAGTACCTCTACTACAACAACTCTGCCACCAACAACGACACTCGTGTCTGTAACAGCAATCCAGTCTCTGTCTGCATCCAATAACGAGAAAGGAGTTCGTAAGTAGGACAGAAATGTCTGTCGCAACCTGATCACGCTGATAAATTAAACCTTGTATGTATGTAAGGGGTGGGACATAAAAACCGGCCCCCGCACTGCGACCTTCAATGATATTGTAGCGTGTTTCGTGTGTCACGCTACAAATAAATTCACGCCGTCTTCTGATATAGCGAGTTTATTACGTTCGCTCGCCTTACACACCCTTTACAACCATTTACACTTGCAGTGGTACAATCACTGCTTACAACAACTCGGCGATGCTGGACTATCTCCTTTCTGGCGGTTGTTCCAGGACTGATCCCTTAGACGGCTATTCCAAGACTTTCTTCTCCGAAGGCTGATCCGAGACTGAAGACTTCTCGTCGAAGCTGGGCTTTTATAACCTTGGCCGCTGCTAGGCAAATGAATCCTCTGTTATAACCATGGAGACTCCTGTTAGAACTACAATGGAGCAACTGTTGTTTCCTATGCAACGGTCTATTCTAGTGTTTCCATAGAAGCATCTCTTCTGGATTCCAGACACGTTACAATATATTGTACTTCCCTTTGGATTAGCCCTTTATTAATCCTACACTTTTAATAAAGTGTAGGACCCTGCTTATGGGGGCGTCATAAAAGTCACTTGGTTCCACAATGAACTGACCCAAGTGACGAAATCTTAAATAAGCTATGGCCTCACAAAATTAAATTTTACCCTGGGTGAGAAGTGGAAAAGCCTGTGTAATGAGTGTTACCATCAGTAAAACCACTGTTCAAAACAAGCGGCTGTAGCAGAACACGAATGCTAGAATCAGAAACGAGAAAAAACATCGTGCTGATCCGTCTATGCATATATTGGCGAGTAGATAGTTAAGAGGGATGAACCGGTGTCGCTGTCTGCCATAGTTTCGATTCTGAAGTCACTGACTGGCATTTACACAAGTTGCCGTTGCTGTAGTTACCATCATCTGCATCGCTGTTGACTGCAGACTGATGCCGTGAGAACTACAGTAGAACAGCCAGCAGAATACGTCAGATGTTGAGGAATTGTGAAAGTGGGATGTGACGCCGTGTACTCTGGTAGAAGTTTACTGTCATGTCGGAGGAACGTTGGTAATCTTCCGCTGGAATGCAAGGCGTCACGTCCTAGAAGAAGTGCTCTGCAGATGGTAGGTTGTGCATAAACAATGAATTGGAAAGACGTGGAAAGAAGCGGCAATGGACTAACGTAGACCAATCTTATTATGCCAGAATTTTGCTGCAAAGATTGTGGAAAACTACGGGAAATATTGTCAGGATAGCTGGTTGTCGGGTGGAGGTTCAAACCAGGGGTCTGCCGAGTATGAATCGGGAGTGCAAACAGGAAAACCATAAGGTTCATTTGAGCCAACTTGGTCCAATACAAATTACACGATGTACTTTCGTCTGAGACCTCTTTCCACCTACGCGTCCACGTATATAACAAGAACAGAAAGGGGTGGGGCCTACTCCAGACCGGTGTAGACGATATGCTTATTTTCTAAATACATTCCTTGTTGTTCTGCGTGCAACTCAATATTAACTTATAAAAGTTGTCCCTGTTCTTAACTAATTAAGCACTATGAAGGCGTATGGAGGAGTGGATGTATAGATCCACAATTTCTTGACCTCGGCACTAACTGGAGGTGAGTGGTCAGCTTCACGCCCCTACAGGTTTACCGGCAAGGAAGGAGCGCCCGGTACCCATTAGGAGGCTGGGTGTACCTCATATTCCTTCTGGGCGCCGTAGAGAAGAAAGAATTCTTGACCATACCGGGACTCGAACTTCGGCCCCTCGGTCGTCCAGCCAGTAGCCAGTCGCTTTACCGACTACGCTCTCCCAGCTCCCCAAATGTTAATTTATTGCAGATATAAATTTATTGTTTCACAATTAATCGCCCTATAGAGATTACACTATGTAGTTTTCTTTTATTGCTAATGGGGTGGGACTAAGTACCTTGTACTGCGGCCACTTCTGGCCTTTGTACCAGCCCCAGATGATAGGTGAGGGTGATTGTGGAGCAATTGGTGGAATGAAGATTGGAAGGGGAAACCGAAGTACTCGGAGAAAACCTGCCCCAGCGCCACTTCGTCCGCCACAAATCCCACTTGACCAGAGCTGGGATCGAACCCGGGCCGCCCCTGTGGGAAGCCAGCGACTAACCGCTTGAGCTATGGCGCGGGCGCACACTGCGCAGTGACTGAAACAGATATATTTCCTTGCATTTCCTTAAGCATACAGCATATTAAGAGACATTACAAAGAAAAGTTGATAGGCTTATAATTGTGCACCAAGTTAACTTGCCCAACGTTTTCATATAAACCACATTTTACGAAATCCGTCGAGTACTACATAGTTTCGGAAATGAAACATCTGGATGTAGAGACGGGAGAGCCCATTATGAGTCAACTTGACGTACTTTGTGCAGCTAACTTGTAATGTACTTAATTATGTTACTCAAATTCCAAATAAGAACATAAAACTGTCCACAGCTGAATAATCGAGACGCGCCTTTGACTTGGGAATAAGCGATGTGACTCAGCACTGAATTTTCCGGGTTCCAGCAGCGGGGTGCCATATGTGCCCACGGGGCTTTTGAAAGTAACTTGTAACACTTGTGCGTAACATTGTTGGGTTTCAGGTTCTCACAGCGGTGATTATGAAGAATTCTAGCCTCTGGAATACAACGCCGTGTAGTCCGGTAAAAACAAACATTGCAGAAGAACATATCGCGTCTATCTGCAGGGTCTAAAAATAAGCCAATAATATTTATCTGCATGGTGGCTTCTTCCTTGACTTACTCTTCGACTTTGAAGATGGGGGCGATATGTTTCTCTGAAAAGTCGGTTGACGGTCACCATACTATACGGCGTTATATCCCAGGAGATGGACTTCTCGTGTAAGTAAAATTTCAAAGAATCTGAATGAGATACAGGAGTGGAAAGCTAGACTTCAATAAAGAGAAAGCTGCTACACATAAGACACATGTCAAATTTTCAAAAATAACTCGCTGCACATTTTTCATACTTTGTTGGTCTTTATGTTCATTTGTTGAAAATATTTGCTTCAATGCTGATATCACGGCAGTTGTCACTCCACAGTCAATTTTTTGTCTGTTTTATTAAATATTCATGGTAATGAAAAATGTTTCAAATAAAAGTTGCAGAGCTTAATGAGTTCTATATTTCATGCATTGCATTAATGTTTATATGCTCACTTGCTTTCAACAAAACAGATTAAGTCGAATTTGACTTTAGAGTAATGTAGTGGTTATAATTAAACCGATATGAATTACAGATTCACTAGATAGCTTCTAGTGTGGAATTCTGTGTTTTGGATTTCTCAAAATTCAGTGAGAAATTTTGGATATTAAAGATTAAAAGAGACAAGTTCTAAAATGTAATTTGTAAATGCTTTCTGCATATCTGTCTGTTCTGTTATGATTACTATTTTATTTTTCTAAAATGTTTTAACTTGTATTTTTACTGCTTACAGAATGTGGAGTACCACCTTTATTTCCAAGGCCAGAAACAAGAATTGTGGGGGGTAGAAATGCTCCATTTGGTGGCTGGCCATGGCAGGTAAGCAAGTAAACAGAATTCACATGTCTTAAACAGAAATTTGTACTACAGTATTGTATCACAAGAAGTGACTCTTGAATCTCTCTTCTAAAATATAAAATTATGAGTAAGTTCAGTGACATGCATGAAACAAAGCAGAATAACCCATCCTCTGGACTGTTTACTTCTCTCTTCTCGAAGTTCTGCAACTTACATGAAATGGTTGCACTGTGTTCAGCGTAGCTGCCTCTCACAGGATCCTGTAGATATATTTTCTGGGAACCTTGGTTGTCACATTTCTCCTCTGAGAACCATGAAGCATTCATTTCCACATTACTCCTTCCCTTGTTTTATTTGTCTAGTAACTGGTTATTCCATTTCTTCCAAACTCACTTCCTTTTACACATTTACCCAGTTTGTCCCTTTGAAGAAAAAAAACACAGCCCCTTTAGTGGTCACCAGTTCCCTTTGACTCACCCTCAGCTCTGGCTCCTGTTTTCCTTTCCCATAAACCACATGCCATGTTCCCAAATGGCTTACTCTTCTACCCTTAAAATGGAGGCAGCAGGTTCCCCTAAAATATTTTCAGCTCCATTCTATTTCACAAGACACAATCCCCACTCCTCAATAGGACCACCATCATAACCAAAATGCAGCGGAAGATTAATTTGGTAAAAATAAATTTGTCCTGCTCTCCTGCCTTCCATAGATTAGGCTGAAACCTGGTCTGATTTTAAAATCACAATTTCAGCTTCCTTCCTGAGTCTCTAGCTTCTTGGATTCTTCTCGGGAGTCTGTTGTGCATAATGCTATTGCTGTGGGTTGACGCTTCTAAAAATATTTTTGCTCACTGTCTGAATTTTATGAGCATTATGGATGCTGTTGCTTTGCTTCCCACTTTTCATTTAGCATTTTATATATTGCCCCAGACATTCTTTGATATTTATAAACTTCAATTTGTATTTATGTTATATCATCTTCATAATGCATGCATACCTCTAATATTTGAAATATGAATTTATAATTTAATAATTGAAAATAATTATTTTTGATAATGATGTTTTCATATTAAATGTTTCACCAAGGTTTCATAATTTATAATTGTGCTACTGAAGAATTTTCTCCTGATTCTAAATAGTACTGTCATTGGCAAAAAGTAAAATATTTAGGATATTTTTTAACTTTGAAAATAAGAATTCCTTAAGTAATCTGAATTCAGGTGAACCAAGTATGTAGAATAATTTCCTAAACTTAGAAACACTTGTTCAAATTCCAAAACATAACAGTGCAAGATTCATGGTACTCATAAACCTTCTTCTCTATCCTCCCTTGCACCTTTTTGTGTGTGTGTCCTCTCTTTCTCTTATTTTAGAGGTGTTTATGCTTTTTACACTGTTACAGGTATCAGTAAGACGGACATCATTTTTTGGATTTTCAAGCACCCATCGCTGTGGAGGTGCAGTTCTGAATGAGAACTGGATTGCCACAGCAGGACACTGTGTTGATGAGTAAGTAATGAAGTTCCACAAGGACAGAAGGACTGATCCCCAAGGTCTTCACCTGCCTAATATTCCAAATTTTAATTTTACTATGTGCCTGGTGTAAGGTCCTCCCTCAGCATCCATTTGTTATTTAGCTTTTCAAAAAATGTCTTGGTCTTATTAAACCTAAGACTAATCATCATATCGCCATAACCACAAAAGCCAACTATTGGATATAATTCAGAGTCAGTTCAGCTCTCAGCCTGTCTCAGATTTACACTTGGTCTCCCAACTAGATGCTTCACAGAGGTTTCTATTTAAAATAATATATGTATTTCTTATTTTCCCTAATCTGACTCCATTCAAAATTATTTTAATCTGTGTTCTTCTCAGAGAATAATGTAGTGGACGCATGATGACAGAAACATACTGTACAGTTTTTTTATCGCTAGCGGGGTGGGACTAAGTCCCTTGTACTGCGGCCACTTCTGACCTATTGTACCAGCCCCAGATGATAGGTGAGGGTGATTGTGGAGCAATTGGTGGAATGAAGATTGGCAGGGGAAACCGAAGTACTCAGAGAAAACCTGCCCCAGCGCCATTTTGTCCACCACAAATCCCACTTGACCAGACCCGGGATCAAACCCGGGCCACTGTGGTGGTAAGCCAGCGACTAACCGCTTGAGCTATGGCACGGCCTATTTGTATTTTATTGCAGAATAAACGTGTTATAAATGCATGTATATACTGTTTTTTAAAATATATAAATATTTTGTATTATTTTAAGAAATAGCAGATTTTTGGATACCTTGAATGCATCCCATTGAAATGCATCAAAATTCACCTTCAAGAATCTGATCCCAGCATGAAACAAGTCTACTTCATTTGCATGATTTAAATCCCTTATACTCTACTCTGAGACTGGTTAATTTGAATTCTACCTATACTTTACATTTAGTATATTAAATGCTTAATGGGGCATTTAAGTTTACTAGGGAAAACAGTGTTAAATACTGCAGAATGTTAAAAAGAACACAATGCACAATATAAGGAAAATTAATAAAAAATGACAATTTTGCATAGGCCCACTGTAAACCAAAAATGATTTAACTATTTATGGTTAACCTAATGATCCTCTTGTTGATCCATCCTCAAAAATCATTCTGTACCACACTGCTATTTCCTCTCCCACTGACTACTCATATGTCTCTTTGCATGTGTATATGTGTGCAAACAAGCACAAATACCTCTAGGTGCAGGTTGACATAGCAGTAGGTATCTGGCTTGGACCTAGGCTGACCTAACTTAGAATTTTCCTGATTTTCCTCATTTCAGTACTAGGTGAATCCCGAATAACACCTTAATTTGGACCACAGTTGCTTCCTTCAAAATTCCTACTAACTACATTCATCACCATCATCATCAATATCAACCATTCTTTGACATTTATAGTGGGGTAATTAATCTTACTGCAAAGCCTCTCACCCTTCCATAATATCCCTTTTTTATCAGTATCCACTATATTTCTTCAACAACTTGTTCTGTCCATTTAGTCCTTGGTCTTTCCTTTGTTTTCCTCAAACAAAACCCTATGCTCTCCCATGACATACATTCATCTGTATTCTCAATGTCACCAATTTTCTTTGCAGTGCTTCTACTCTCAGATCTTCAGGTTTCAAGTTTACACCTTCTTGTTTGTTTCTTAATACTCTGTAAAACTTCATCTCTACAGTTAGTAGTCTCCCATGTCCATATTATTGCTCCAAATGTCAAAATAGGGCATAGGAAACATGTTTCATAAATAGTTCAAATATTTTCTCTAAGAGTCTTACAAGATTAGCCAACTGTAAGATTCTCTCTGTAATTTCTTGTCCAGTATTTTTCATTTCATGAAACTGCATTACTGTATCTCTGACTTTCTGGATGTTTTACATTCATCACACAATAATATGTCTGCAGCCTCCTGACATCCCAGATCCGGATCCGTGTGGGGGAGTATGACTTCTCAAGTGTGCAGGAACCATATCCCTTTGTGGAGCGTGGAGTGGGACGCAAAGTGGTTCATCCCAAGTACAACTTCTTTACATACGAGTATGACCTGGCCCTGGTACGACTAGAATCTCCTCTCAATTTTGCTCCACACATAGCCCCTATCTGCCTTCCTGCTTCTGATGACCTGCTGATTGGTGAGAATGCAACTGTGACGGGCTGGGGCAGACTTAGCGAAGGTGGCACACTACCTTCCATTCTTCAAGAGGTGAGGCCAAGCTATTTTCGAAACTAAAAGTGTTGCAAAGAACTTTATAAGAGAAAAATTAGGCCAAGCACAATGAACATTCTTTACATCACAATTACATGAAAATTATTTGCTGTCTGAGGTATATTTCATATACATGATGTTACAGGTTAAATCTCTATCCCAAGTTTCACATGATTTGTTCACGTGATATTGATAGATATTTTGTATTGCTCTTATTTCAAATATTAGCAAAACTGGTAACCTGAATTTGTTTACCATCCCATAGGCCACCAAAGTCCAAAAACCAGTATTCCAAAGATTCTTGGATCAGCCTCCAGCAACCTGAAGATAGGAGCAGAACAACTCTCCTGTATACTAAATAAACCCCAGATGCTGAATAATGTCCATCTCAGTTATCACAAACACTTCCAAAATTACATTAACAGTTTCTCACAAAGCCTCTATTCACTGAATGTAATGGTGTAGTGGTTCACATTCCAGCTTTATATTCATGAAGTTCCATGTTCAAAAATCATGACAAATCTTTTAAAATAACTTTGTTCCACATCTTTTGTAATTTAACATCNTCCTGTTGCACTGATTTTCATCCATTATATGTATGCAGTGGCCGTCTTGTAGTTCTTTTAAAATAACTTTGTTCCACATCTTTTGTAATTTAATATTCATAATCATCCTTCCATTCAATGCTGTATAATCCATGTGATTCAGAAAGTGTCATTCAGTATGATGAATAACATCATTACATCCCTGTTCAGCTGTTTAATTCTGTTTGTTGTTTCAATTCTTTGTTATTCAATAGTCCAGATTTTTGGAATAAATGTTATTTCATATCATCAGAAATATCTCAGAGTTGTCCCAGAAAATCAGATTTGACATAAATAACAAATAAAATATATTATTAGGCATTCCAAATACAAATTTATTATGAACAATGCTTTAACTGATGGATTTAAATTTTGCATGGGATATCTATACTAGGACTTAATGTACAAATTTCAGACTGATACATTATGCAAGGGCATACTTTAAAAGAAGCAATATAATTTCATCAATAAAGTTATGCACTGCAGACTGGTTCAACTGGTATTCAGTTCTGAGGTGTGGCAGGAGTTTTCTCTTTGCCAGCTATACCAGCTATGGTAATGACGCAGCCTCCTAGCCAGTGGGTACCAGAGGCTCTTACCCTGGGAGTAAAGTGGTCGAAGCATGAAGCTATTCATTCAACTTCATCTTGTATCATTGTCTCGAGAGCATGGATATTTACCTCCACTCTCCCCATATACCTTCACAGTATGGTGTTTGACATTGGGACAATTTTATTTGACTCTTTTACTTTAACCTGTATTCCTTTTCACACATAATGAATGTCTGGTGCAGCTGTATCTCTAACACAAAAAGTGTAGAAGCCTCTGATCACAATTTGGTCACTGGAAAGACCCTCACTTTAGTATCTGATACAAAACAAGGTGAGACGCAGCCCTTTACTATTAAGAGTGCAAAATTTTGTGCTGCCTACTGCAGACAATCTGTACACAAATTTGAGAGAACTTTTAAAAAAGTAGCAATGAATAATGTAAAAGTGGTAGCATAACAAATTTTGATGACTGTAGGTGTCAGTGCCCATTGTGAGCAATGACTGCTGCAAATCCATGTTTCTGCGTGCTGGGCGGCATGAGTTCATTCCTGAAATCTTCCTGTGTGCAGGACATGAGAATGGAGGCCAGGACTCTTGCCAAGTGAGTAAAGTTCTCTTTATTATGTAAGTTCTCTGTCCAGAACAGTGTGAAATACCTCATTCAGCAATAGCATATCATCAGTATTGTTACACGAAGGAAAGCAGGCTGGGAATTTGGTTGCTAGAAATAGTGTATATGCATCCTGAGATATAACTGTAGTTTCTAGGCTGGATTATTTAAAAAGACATAGACTGCTTTTGTTATACTTTCTTGGTATGGAGATAGTCATATCTGACAACTTGGATTATGAAAAGGTTTCAGATTAAATACTTTTGCTGACACCATCAAATATCAAATATGTTTATACTGAAGCTAATCTTTTTCTAAGTGTATACTGTTCACAATATGTGAAAGATTAGCAGAACAGAATTACACATTTTTTTCAATTTCACTAAAACCAAAATGTTAATCTTACCACAACGCACACAAAATTTTGCTGGAGATTATTCCGAAGAGATTCTATTAACAAGACTTCAAGTATTAAGGAGGGTCATGTTTCCTGAACAATTAAAAGACAGATAATCCCTTGAAATCAGTGCTGAACTGGAAATATTCATACAGGATTCTTATTTCTTATAGGCTGGTCCCAAACAAAGTAATTCCATATTAAAAGAAATACAAATACAACTTAGAAATAAATTATGTAGAAGAAATAATAAAATTTAGAGGTTTATTATAATAAAGGGCAATATGGTTCATGCATATTTACATTATAATGTCGCTGCTATTCAAAAACAGCTTATGAGCACTGCATCACTAATTACGGAAAGCCAGCAGCTTTCATGATGTTCAAGCTGCAGTTTATTGACTTCCGTGAAACAGTTCATCATATGAAACATTGGTACATAATATTTTAATCATCTCATTAAGGTCTATATTTACTGAAAATATTTTATGTATGTAGGTAAGTCAATAAGTAAGTTACAAATCGATATAGAACTTAAACAAATAAGAGTACTGATTTGAAAAATGGTTTTATTTCTCGGTATAATCTGCCTGTACACTGAGGCACTTGTCGCATCATTTCACAAGCCCCTGAAAACCAGCAGCATAAAATTCTTTGGGCTGCTGTCAGAACCAGGTGGTGACTTCCCTTTCTACAGCATCACATTCCTGGAGGATTATTATTGTCGCGTATTGGGCGTATATCGCGACAAATAACTTCACGCCGTATTTGATGTAGCGAATTTTATTTCACATCCGCTCTTACAATCACCCAAATTACAGATTTACGATTACTACACTTTAAATGCCAGAATACAACTGACTAGTTGCTGGCTAACTCGGAACTAACTCGGAGGTAGCTCGAGGACTGACTCGGCGGTAGCTCCAGGACTCACTCGGAGGTAGCTCCAGGACTCACTTGGAGGTAGCTCCAGGTCTGGCTGTGAATAGCCTTCGCTGCTCCTCATGTAGCCTCGATCGGACAATACGGAAAACGGCCACGTAATAGGCACCCTTGTTGCCTGGCGCTGTGTTGCTAGTAACGCTAGCGGTAGTAACCGCTGTTACCACCGTCGTCTCTCGCAATCCTGTACCCATGCTGCCTAGCAACCCGCGGTACACTTGGCGACGTCATCGCTGTTGACTCGCGTTGCCTAGCGACCAGGATGCTAGGACTCGGCTAACATCGGCTCACTTCGGCTTTGCTCGGTGCATCACGTTTGGCGGGGGAGGGGGAGGGGCGTCATCCATAGCTCAACATGTCACATTATTATTATTACTAATGTTATATTTTAGCGTCCTGTTGCTGTCTGTTGCTGGACTTATTATTATTATTCTTATTATTGGACGGGGTGGGTTTCCCCATGCACCGCGACCAATAGTCTATTGTACGTCCCCCTTTGATATTCTACCAGTCGCCATACCCTACCTGTACTGGTGCTCGCTATCAGCCCCGTTCAGCCAGCGAAGCTGGCAGTGGTTCCCAATACTTCCCCATCTACCGGAGGCATTGGAAACTACTTGGGCGGGAAACTTTGCCTAATTTTGCTCAGATGTCTCCTACAGACATGAGCATCTTTTATGTGCCGTAAATCTACGACACAGGACCCACGGCTTAAAGTCCCTCCCAGAGGACTTGTTCCCTGAATTTTTCCACCCTTAAAAATTCCACGACCTCTGCCGGGTTTGAACCCGTGTACCTTGAGTCATGAGGTGGGAACGTTACCCCTAGACTACGGAGGTCGCTCTTCCTGGAGGATAGTGTCACTTTTCACTTTTTTTTTGGCAGGCAACGCAGGATGTTTCCACTGCATTGACGCACACTTTGTCTCGGGCTGGTAATGGTGAACCCAAGACAAATCACCTGTGACAATGCGGGCTAGCATATCGTCTCCTGCACTGTGGAAGCGATTAAGATGCTGTAATGCCAGACCCATTCTTTGCATTTTGTGTTGTGGGGTCAGCATGCATGGCACCCATTGTGCACAGACTTTGTGAAAACCTAACCTGTCATGCATTATGAGGTAGGCCATGCCGTGTGAACACGCCTGGTTCCGACAGCAGCCCAAAGAATTTTATAATGCTGGTTTTCAGGGGCTTGAGAAACGATGGGACAAGTGCCTCAATGTACAGAGAGATTATGTTGAGAAATAAAAGCATTTTTCAAAACAGTACTCTCATTTGTTTAAGTTCTATATCCATTTGTAACTTACTTATTGACTTAACCTCGTATATTTCAGAAACAAGAAAGGTAATAATTTCAGACTGTCTGCAGTATGATATCTGCAGACAATTTAAAATAATATATTTGTATCTGAAATAAGTTAACATCAAGGTCAATGATGTACCTATGAAAAATAACAAATTATGCATCTTGAAAATATGTGCACACATTTCCCATTTCCACAATTTTCCTGCAAAACTGTAACTCAAAATCAACATATCTTGGTGTTCCACTAGTAACCTACTTTGGGGCTCACATACAGATGTCCTGTATTAATTAATTTTCACAATCTGGTCAAGAGTACTTTAACACTATGTGCATATTATTATGTGCTGTAGGGTGACAGTGGAGGTCCACTACAAGTTCGTGGGAAAGATGGTCACTACTTTCTAGCTGGAATTATCAGCTGGGGTATTGGTTGTGCAGAGGCCAATCTTCCTGGAGTCTGCACACGAATCTCCAAGTTCGTCCCCTGGATCCTTGAAAATATCACATAATGAAGGGAATACGAATATAGGGATCTTCATATTAAACAAGTCTGACAGCGCTAAATAAGCAATGCTGCAACATCCAAATTTGTGGATCTGTTTATTGTGTGTTTGAATGTTCCTCACATGACACTATGTTGGCTGTGAGTGCGGATCTGCATGTAATATTGGCTCAGTTAGAAGAGAGGTGTTTGTTAGAGAGAAATGAAAGAACAGATAACTCATAATTGTGGTGCATCATTAAAGATTTTACCATGATTATATGATGGACACCATGAAATCCTTCCTTTTACTTCAGTATTCAAAAAATTAGAAGTAACATGGTTGCGACGCATAGTTACAAGGATGAATTTCTTTTTTCTTTTTTTTTTTTTTTTTTTTTTTTTTTTTTTTTTCTTAATGGACCAAATGTCAAAATCAGTGCAATGTAGGATCAGGTCTGACTATTTGTTTCAGGTCCCCAGAACACTTCAAAAAATGTATGTACATGTACAGTGTATCTTGTATAATGGCAGGAAACAAATGCTATCAAAGTTACAAATACGAGTATAAATTTTGTACCTTTATAGAATATAATGTCATATTATAATTACATTTTTAGTTGATAAAAGGAATGAGTATTCAGAAATGTCTTAAATTGCATCAAATATTGAAATGTAAGGGGCACGCTGTAGCATACTTGGTTGGAGTTGACTCAGCCTCTAACAGAAATGAGTACCAGGAATTAATTAAATAATTTTCCTTGGGAGTAAAGTGCAGCAGGCGCATAAGGCTGACAACCTTACTGCCATCTGTGAACCAACTGTCTAGATAATGTGGGACCCTCAGCCTCTCACAACCATATGGGACTCCAAGGCATGTTACAGGGATAGCTTTACTTTACTTACTTATTGAAATGTAATGAAACACCTGACACTACATCTCATCACACAGTGGACTCAGTCATAGCTGTCCTCATATTGCTGTTTTAGTGGACAGACATTAATATTGACCTGTATATTAATTTTAGAACCACAACATGTATTTTGTATGAGTAAGGGAATTTTCAGAAATGGAAAATTTTTGTATGGGAGAGCAAACCATCCAAAAGCATAAGGCATTATGACACATTGGCAGTGTTTACAAATTAACTGGTGTCTGTACTGAATGTCACACATATTGCTTCCATATCTGTACCAGAATCATCATCACAGTGGTAGCAATTTGTGAATGTAAATATATATATACTCTGGGTGACATTCAGGATATAACAGGTAGCATGATGCCCTTCAGCTGCACATTAGATGGACTTGCTGTAGGTTATGCCAAAAAACCTATTCAAAACTTGTAGAAGTAGTGAAAATATAGTGAAAAGATGAACATACAGGTAGTTCTCTAGCACAAAACAACAAGAATCACATATCTAAAAAGCTTCAGGATTTTCATGGTAGTCCATAATAACTGTACAGTTTTTTATGGATATACCACTATACCAAATTCCAAGAAATATTGTAGTTTTGGAGGAACCAGTTTCAACTGTGGTCCTTAAGAAAGACACATGAAGTTCTTCCAATTTGTCAGTAATTTTTATATTTAATCATGCTACCATACTAAGAAAACTAGAGTAGGCATGAAAACCTGTTTAATGTATGTCCAGCAGAATAATATTTTATACAAAATTTAATGAACATGAGATATAAAAATATTCTACCACATATATATATTTGAGGGTGTGTTCCAAGTCTAGGAAATTAAAGACAGTTACAATTTAGAGACATAAATACCTATCTCAATGATACAGGCATGAATTTTTAATTTGTTTTGGTCTTTATTTTATGGCATTTGAATATATTTCGGAAATCTTTACAAATCATAGTATTCTGCTCTCTCCTGGTCCTATTCAAGCAGTGTTTAACCAAAATTTTAGCCTGTTATTTCAGAAGGAAATGGTTACTTTGCATTATTAATGGAAAGACAACTCAGGAACTGGAGCCAGTATGTGAAAGGAAAATTGCCCTGTATATGGTACAACTCATCCAAGTGTCAGGAGTGTGGTTAAACCTCCAACAAACACCACTAAATTAGAAACAAAGCACGAATTCATTTGACTGCTGAGAGCAGGAACAACAATTTACATGTGTGCGTTTTCAAGTGTTTAGCCTATGATTTGTGTTAGCATGGAACATTATACAAACATCATCATACTGAATAAGTACCCATGCTAGTAGCTCACCATACCATTAACAAAATTCTGTATATAAAGTTAATAACATATACTACATTATATACAGATATTCATATGTATTTATCTCTATTTTCAGTGTTAAATCATCATCAATTACAGTATGTGACACCTCATTAAGGCTATACTCTGCATAAAAGTTGGAGAAAAGAGTAAGACAATTCTATCGCATCCATTGCTTTTCAGAGGTGGTTGTGGGTAGTTAAATGATATTGAGCATCACACATCTGTAACAATAATAGAAGCTGCATAACAGATCACCAGTTGCAGTGAATTAAGGGTACACACAGTCTCCAGTGGAAGGACTAAATAAATGTTACACTGGACTTGCTTTTAAATATTCATAACTATGGCTTAATATCACAATGAAGCGTTTCTTTGGACATTGCCTGTATGAAGAAATATATGATTGTTTCCATTTTCAGATAGCGTGGTTTCTGTTAGATAAAGCTTGGCTTTATCTCAATGCATTGAAACAAATCTTGACACAGCGCTACTCACACTGGTTCTGTCTCCATCATCAGATTATCATAAGGAATAGCATTATCTAACACACCATAAACATCTTTACATCCAGGCAACATAAAATGTGCAAAGAATACACTCACCTGACTTAACTGAACAGAATAAAAAGGGTCATGCCAATTTCTTTCTTTGTATTAACGTTAAGAACAAGAAATATGACAATTAACTGGATTATTGTTATCACTATATGATGCTTCCATGCCATCATGTGTCCATTGGAAGTTCCCCCAAACTAACATTGGCCTGCACACTTTCAAAGCACATCTACACTGTCACAAACTGAGGACTCTATATGTTGCATACTGATATCTGAGGCCTACCATAGAGAATGTTTAGGTTTCAGGTTAAATTTGTCCATGGTATAAATAAGATAAACTGCCTTCAGTCCAGATTTTTTCAGTCTGCTTAGCTTTATTGTGTGTTAACATCTGTCAAATAAAGAACCATCTCGTACCATCTCTTGGCAATTCAAAGTATCCATCATTAGACTGAAGATAATGGAAATTATAAAATTGCTATGGAAATACATAAAAATAATTTTTTTAATGAAATATTCAGCACAGAAGTGTTTGAGAGTACATTCTGTCTACTCAATAAGGAGTATGCATCCTAGAACCTTAACAACACCAGTTCCCATGTGGACACAGTTTACTGACATGCTCACATGTGTAAGTGAAGAAAGAAGAAACTAGGCTTCGTTTTGTTGTTGACTGTGATTATTATATGGTGTTCCTTGTTCAGCAAATTTGACAGCCCTCATTCAAACAAACCCTAAGTGATCAAGTTTAAGTGATTTCTAAGACACACAAAAACTGTGATTGCTGCATGTCAGTAAATATATAGAGAGTAAACATATGTAAAACCAAAGAAGAAGAAGAACCAACTGGTTGTATATTTTTGTATAATATGAAAAAAATATATACATACATTTATTAAATTGTTTTTCTTACTACAAATATGGAGAGATATGGCACATGTAAAAGCTTTGTTTTAGGCCTGGACTCTGGGCTAAATATCATTATTTTTCTGAAGATACTGCTTATTTAGGGAGATGGTCTCCACAAATCACTGAAAGTTAATCAAAATCGTTTGATTGTTTTTTGCACAAATCACCATTTTTTGTTCTGGGGCACAGCTCAAGAGCCCTTATATTTGGAACACGGGGCACCAACCTGTTATGTTTTACAGTTATGGATGTAAATAAAATTATGAATTATGGATAAGCTTTTGGTTACCAACTAAAAATGAAATCCAACCAACTGTTTAGGCACTAGGAAGGCACACATTCATCCATCCATACAACAATACATACATACTTAAAGATGAAGAGATAAACAGATGGCATACCAAAACAACTTTTTCATGTTCAGGAGGGCTCAAAGTAAAAATCTCAAGACTGATTTTTCTCAATATCACAGTACTTTCTCATATATAATATTGTGGCGTATGTACTCGTTGCTAGGCTGAGACCGCGACACAAACAAAGAGACAACGGCCGTTGTTATGCAGCCATCGTGAGATGGGCGGTTATATGAGACCCGTTTCTGGGCAACGGCGCAAGAAACACGTTTCCGCCGCAACAGTTGCGCATGCACCGGCGAGAAATGGGGTGTCTACGCGGTCCGAGCCGAGGAATTAAAAAGAAGAGAACTAGGGCAACAAGTCAGTTGAGCTCTGCAAGGGAGTCTGCGAAAATATGGCGCTATAGTTGAGTTCTCCACGGACGGCTGTGACAAGAGGACCTGAGCGCGTGAAGCTGAAGAATCTCCATTGCTAGAAGCCGTTGCCAGGGAGCGGCTAGTNGGTTGCGAGATGTTGAGGTTCCCACATTTTATAGACAATCGGCTCATATTTGGGGGCAAGGTTGTCCTACGCGCCGGCCGCCCTTTACACCCAAGAATATTCCTGGTACCCATTTCTGTTAGAGGCTGAATCGACCCCAGGGCCATAGTGCGGCTGGAAGGATTAGGTCAACTGAAGAAAATCCAATGACCTCATCGGGACCTGAACCCGGGACCTTCCGGCTTGTAGCACAGTGCCCCAACCAATTTCACTATCGCGTGAGAAAGTAAAATAATTGATGCTTAAAGTAAATACGGGTATAAAGTGCATAAAGCGTGACCGTGATGTGCACACATGCATCTGCCATGCTTACCCGAAGAAGCAAGGACGTGACATAGCTCAGTATGTTAGTTGCCGGCTTCCCACACAGGCGGCCCTGGTTCGATTGTAAGTCAGTTCGTGTTGGATTATGGTGGACAATGTGGCATGGGGGCAAGTGTTTTTTAAGTACTTCGGTTTCCACTGCCAATTCTCATTCCACTGACAGCTCCACATTCATCATCACCAGCAGTTAGATCGATAGGTCAAAAGAGGCCGACATACCAAGTGGCCTCGGTCTCACTCCACCCTCAACAAAATTACAATTTCCCCCCCCCCAAATTTCCGCGGGTAATATAAATTTATTTTGGGAGAGTGTTAGATAAAGATAAATTTGCATAAGTTGAGGCTTGGATAATCTGGTGAGCATCCGAATGCAATAAAACAAAGTATATTAAGCTGATTCAGGATAGAGCCAGAGGTGAGTAAGTGTGATGATCCCCTGCATTACACAACAACAGTAAATTTCTTCATCAGCTGAATAACTACGTGCAAATTTTCAATTATTGGCAGACTGGAAAGTTTTGGTTTTCTTCAGTAAGATGAGATAAGAGCTTTCCTGTATATTTTCCACCTTCACATATCTCATAGGAAAGGATTACAAAGTAATGATCATAGCAATGAAGCAGGAAGTTGCACTATGCCACATCTCATTCTTCCTTACATTCCTCCTTACGTAACCGTTTTCTATATGTCCGACTCTAAGTTATATAAGAAGATAAATTGAGTGTCAGTGACAGTTACGTAATAGGTACTGCTGTTGCCGGACATCGTGTTTATAAGTTCCCTAGCAACCGCTGTTTACTCGCTTTTGCCTAGCAACCGTTCTTTACTCGTCGTTGCTAAGCAACGACGCTTGCGTTGTCACACTTGCTTGAATGTGGGCAGTTCCCACATAGCTAATAGATCAACTGAAAATATTGCGAAGTTAAACATCTGGGAACTAGAGTAACAAATGAAATCTGATTCATAAGGAAAGGCAAAGTTGTCCCTGTACTTAACTAATTAAGCACTACGCCATGAATGGTATGGGGGAGTGAATGTATAGATCCACATATTCTTGACTACGTTACTAGCTGGAGGTGAGTGGTCAGCTTAACGCCCCGGCCTCTTTACCTCCGGGGAAAGAGTCCCCGGTACCCATTGGATAGGAGGTTGGGTGGATCGCAAAGCCGGTCTTGACCCTACCGGGACTCGAACTCCGACCCATCGGTCGTCCAGCCCGTAGCCAGTCGCTATATCAACTACGCTATCCCAGCTCATTTTGTCTTCTTTTCTGTCTAAAATGTAAAGATTAAAACTTATAACTTTTCCTGTAGTTTTGTATGTGTGTGTGTGAAGCTTGGTCTCTCACATTAAAGGAAGACACGTATTTGAGAACAGAGCACTGAGGAGAAGATTTGGACTTAAGAGGGACGAAATAATAGAAGGCATTAGAAAAATTACATAATGAAGGGCTTCACAACTTCTACTATTCCCAAACATCAGAATGATAGCATCCAGGATGAGATGTAGAAGGCATTAGCGCCGGTCACGGTAGCTGAGCGGTCTGAGGCATGTACTGTCTTCGCTCGCTCGCAAGCCGGGATCGTGGGTTCGAATCCCACTCAGGGCATGGATGTTTGGTATGTGAGTTTATTCTGTGTTTGTTTTGTCCCGTGTTTGGGTAGAGGCCTTGCGAAGGGCTGATGACTCGTCCAAGGAGTCCTACCGGCTGTAAGATGACCATTAAACTGAAAATCAGAGGCCAGGGCCCAAGAGGACTGTAGAGTCGGTGAAAAAAGGAGAGAACAGCAATATATACGTACATCAGACATTACGTTTGTACAGTGACAACGCTGTGCTACAAGAAAAAAAGTAAAACGTAAAGGTATCCCTGTAGCAGGCCGTGGGGGCCCATAGGGTTGTGAGATGTGATGTTGAGGTTCCCACATTTTCTAGACAATCAGCTCATAGATGGCGGCAAGGGTGTCAGCCCTTGAGTGAAACCTTGTAATGATATGATTTATAGTTCATATCATGAGGAACAAATGGGTTTCTTATTGGACTCTCTAGCTTCAATAGTTATCGAGATATGAGAGATGAAGCAAACCTCCATTTCAGGAGAAAACGCGTTTTTTCGAATTATAACAACTTCGCTATTAGTGGAATATCAAAGTTTTAATTTTAACTCCAAGTTACTCTAGAATAGAGCATTATTTGCTATGAATTTCAAATTTTTCGGAGCTTCTCCACCGGAGATATATGAGATGTTACAAATGGCCGATTTTGAGATCAGAGCAAAGTTTGAAAACTCCTGAAAAATTCTGGAAACTAGGTACGGGGTTCAACCTATGGGATTATATTCCCCATGTAGGAAACAACAAAGGGTAGAAACCACAGACCTGATACTTTCCCCCTCCCATTTGTTTTTTAAGGTGAAAAATAGCGTTTTTCCCAAAATCGATAGGTAAGTTTCGAGCTTAATTAGACCTAGAGGGAGTGAGTTAAGTGAAACCTTGTAATGATATGATTTATAGTTCATATCATGAGGAACAAATTGGTATTTCATTGGAGTCTCTAGCTGCAATATTTATCGAGATACAGAAGATAAAGCAAACCTCCATTCGAGCCGAAAACGTGTTTTTTTCGCATTATAAAAGCTGCTGTACCGGGAGAACCGAGTGGATTACAATTTTTTTAAATATTTTTGAAGTGTGAAAATATGTAGAAATAAGTGTACAAAATATGAATTTTTTTAAAAATAGTGAGCGACCTCTCTGGATGACTTCACATGGAATGACCCATAACTGTGTGTGCTGCTGCCAACTCATCGAAAGAACATAATGGACATTACAATTTAAGAGCTCTATCTTTTGGGATATAACGGAGTGTTCTCCGGTGAAAGTTAACCGACATTTCGGAGGAATATGTTGCCTCCATCATCAAGGTCCAAGAGTAAGCGATGCAAGAAACCATGGTGAAAGCAGGTAGAAAGCAGATCCACCGGGCTTATTCTTCGACCATAAAGATGGAGACCACGTGTTCCTCCAAAACGTCCGTTGCTTTTCAAATGATTATATGGCGTTATATCCGACAAGCGAGAACTCTTCCTAATCACCGATGAGAGCACCTCAAATCCTAAATTCCACTATAAACTTAATAACTTCCTTTATTCATCATCATCATCATCATCACCGTTCCATCGATTAGACGAATCGCCTGTTCCAGTCTCTAATATTATTACATTTCTCACTTTCCTGATCTAGTACTTTGAAGCTTATCGGTAATAAAAAGTTGCGCAGATCTAGCTCAGTGATGGGTGATGTCACATTTCTTCTTTCTGTATTTTGTAACGGACCACCTCAAAGTCAGAAGCCACACAGACTATGCTAGGCGGGACACAATAGATTTGGCTTGGGAAAGAATTTCTCATGACACGAAGGAGTCTGGATCCAGGTTAAGTTCTTTCGAAACAGTTTCCAGAGAGGTGTGAAGAGGGGGATATATCTGGAGTGGCTGAGCGACTAATAGCTTCTCAAGAAGTACTCTGCTCCGTGGATTTTTCATGACACGAAACGAAGAGCACTACAAAGAAGTCTATTTATGTATGTATGACTTATCTGACGATACTATCTGTGTCTCAGGCTATATAGCTTGGAAGGATAGGTAGATTTTTTAAGATGGTTATTTAACGATGATGACAGTATCAAGACTATATAGCGTGGATGATAGGGCGCTAAACTAATGTGTATCAGTTTTTAGTGGATTCTCTAGGATGCTTAGTGAGAGGGATGAATTGGAAACACATGAAAGGAAACGACCATGGCCTAACGTGAGGTACTATCACACAATTTGTTCTTAGGGGTACTGAGGAAACCCATGAGAAAATACTCAGGATACGTAGCCGATGTCATGCCCGAGATTCAAGCACCATGTGAATACAATTCAGCAGCGTTAACGCTTGAGATAAGTTGCTCAATAGAAAGCACTCATAATACAACTGTATTTGACGTATTCAACGTATTGACAGAATTATTAAAGAAAAGTTAACAAATAGCACGAATTCAAGAATGAGCAAAAGGCTACTGGACGAATGTGGCAAGAATGGATTAACATGCTGCCCAACGTCATAACTGCTAGATGACAATGACAACCTGCCTACGGCGGCGAACGAGCCACTGAATGACACGACCTGTGAGCAACTGAGACATCTTTCCCCTTTAATTCCTTGACTTCTGATCCGTGACTGCATAGCTTTGTGCTCTACTAGTCGTTGCGTATTATTTTCCGGGCAGTAACGACGTTACCCCGGAAAATGGTTAACCTTAATTGAAGGTTCGTTGCCTGGGAACGTCTTGTTGAATGTAGGTTCGTTGCCTGGTAACGTCTTGTTGAATGTAGGTTTGTTGCCTGGGAACGTCTTGTTGAATGAAGGTTTGTTTCCAGGGAACGTCTTGTATGTAAAGCACTGCATATATACACATGCAGGGTTTTATATACAAGACGTTCTTTGCCATTCTAGTGAGAGTTGTTACGACGAAAGGACCGACTGTGAAAATACTTTTTCAGAATTTTGTGTTATAGTTACCTGAATTGTAGTTACGTCGTTCAGTAAAAAAGTGACGTCGCAAGAATACGCTTCGAGGTTTGTTTCACTGCCTAACACCGCTGTTGTTGCGACACTTCGACTTGTGCGGTGCTTCCGGCCGAGTAGAGTATTATGAGGCGTGTCTCGAAGTGGACGCTGGTTCGCCTGGTCGCTGTGTCCGTCCTGCTCTCTGTCGCTTACTTCATCTGTTTCTCTGGACTGACCGCCACGAGCGACTCGGTGCGTCATTTCGATGTACACGGCTCCACCGAGTTCCACAACCTTCTGCTTGATACTTCTGTAGCTGACTGTTGCGATGGAGAGCCACTCAAGGTAAAGCTTTACGATTCCTGGATCGCGGTAATGTATTGTCTCACACTGCGGAGTAGGCCATACAAATGCAGGTACCAGCAGGTTAAACTATTTACAATATAATACTTACGTCTCCATATTGTGAAGCGATTGAAACGAAGCTTGTCTGTCGCCTGTCGGTCTAGGTACTGAATACGAGTATAAAATTAGTTCACTCTGTGTTCTTGGCTCGGAGATCGGCTATCCTGACTGAGGTTTCTCGTGGTTTTCCTCAGTCCCTACAAGGAAATGCCCACGTCCTTTGCAATTAATTTTTCATCCGTAACCCACAATTTTACGCTCTATAGTCCTGAGTAATGGCGGAGTCGATAAATGAACAGCAAATAAAATAGCGTAATTCACTTTGTGTGCTGACCTCTATACTTCTGTCTGCTGTTACTTCAATTCTCTCTTATCGTCACCCAAGTTATCTTGGCCTAGCGGTAGAATAGTAATTCAAGGATGGCGACTGTCAACTTGCTGAGCGTTTATTCGAACCACAAAGAGCGATTACTCACTACAGAAAATAGTGTACGTATTTATTGAATCGTGTATATATTCCATCCAACGTTGGCAGAAGTAATTTGACCAGCAGCTTTTTAGCAACAACGAGACAAAATGCGTAAGTCAATTCCAGTCATCTGATTCTTATTCAGTTGTTATCTAATGTTACAGCCCAATGTCCCATGACCGTGAACACCTGCATAATAACAAGTTACACAGAAATTAGGGAAAGAAAATGATTAGTTAGTTCCAGACGTTGAGATAACTATGGAACCCCACTACTTTACGAAAATGACAGGGTGTATATAACATTTTTAAGTTCAGGCAGGTTAACCTCTTTACACGCTATAGAATTTAGTAGAGGGCATAACCCATGACATCACACTCAGACAACATACAAGTGTGCGACAAGCCTTTGCGACACTTTCGACTTAACTGCTTTGAATTAGCTAAAATGCTCATCTTTCTCATCTATATTATGTATTTGATTCTTGAGCGTCGTTTTTAAAAATATGTTTAAGGTACCAACGTTTTTTAAAACAAACCACTCAGCTGAATATACGTATCATATTTCGACTACGAAAATATCTACAACAATGAGTAAGAATATATACAATAAAAGCTAACAAACTAATTCTCCCTTTCAAACGATTACATTTACAATATCAAGAATCACCCACCTCTTGTAACAATGATCAATGTGTAGTAAAATCACTCGTAATTACTAGAATACCACAAGTCCAGCTGGGGATGTCCAAACGATGTCCCAAACAGAAAGCTGTGAAAGTAGTCACAGGACTGGCAGCCAGATGGCATTGATGTCTTGGAAAAACATAGAATAAGATGTTTATAAGAATGTGCTACAGAAGGCCGGATGGGCATTAGCTAGGCCTTTTTTGTATTTACAATATTTTTTCTGCAATAATAATAAAGAGTTCCGTTACAGATTGCTCATATATCCAATGTAATCGTGATTTAATGTATACTATGACAGTGGGTAACTGGATGGGTCACGTGCGAAAAATTTAGCTGGAGATTTGAACGGTTCAATTCAGAGGGAGGGCTTCTTTTCTTGCATTTGAAATCATTCAGAATAATGTGCAGCTGCATATTGAAAGTTAAGAGACTGACGGCAGTAAATTGTCGAAAACGAACTTCCATTGTTGGCAGCGTGCATATTCAGTGAAATTGTGATTATGTATGTGAGAGTGGATCAATGAAATGTTTAACTTTGGGAACTGCAGCTAGGAGAAAGGAACTGTTTATTTCGAAGTCTTGATACCTAATTGGATAATGAAGGACAGCGAAACATATTAAGAGAAAAGGTTGTACATTTCGTGTGCAATGACTGGGATAGGGTTCGCCTCTTTGTTATATTTGATACCATTTAGAATAATGGAAAACTGCGTACTAACACAAGTGAAGATTACAAAGTGAGTATTGCGAAAATGCAGTGTATGGCAGTAATGTGGAAATAACAGCTATAACAGAAAATTTATAAAGAATCTGTCTTTGTATCTCACTCACCGACTGTTGTAATTCGGTTAGTTGTAACTGAAAGAAACGTGATGTTCTGTTATCAGGATAAACCCGTAACTCTTAATTCGTAACAACACATTATTCTGCAACATCTGTAATGCAAAATAATGATAGGAACCCATGAAACAAGCAATTCCTATCTCTGGCCACAGTTTGCAGAGATAACCCGTCGATTTATTCACTCTTGGAACACGATTTACTGAATATACCCCTTATCGGCGATGATAGTTTGTTTCCGGCAAAGGTGGAGACTGGATTGCTGACTTACGACCAACCCATAACCACTCCCACAGATTTATGCTGGGAATATCTTTTGGACATATTATTATTATTATTGGAGTGGGTGGGTTTCCCCAGCACCTCGACCAGTTGTTGATCTATTGTACATCCCCTTTTGATATTCTACTAGTCGCCATACCCTACCGGTACCGGTGCGTGCTATCAGCCCCGTTGAGCCAACGAGGTCGGCCCTCGGTACCTTGGAAACTACTTGGGCGGGAAATTGTTGCCTAATTTAGCTTAGAGGTCTCCTAGAGACATGAGGTTCTTTTACGTGCCGTAAATCTACGACACGGGACACTCGGCTTAAAAGTCCCTCCCGGAGGGCTTGTTCCCTGAATTTTTCCGCCCTTAAAAATTCCACGACCTCCGCCGGGTTTGAACCCACGTACGTTGAGTCATGAGGTGGGAACGTTACCCCTAGACTACGGAGGCCGTACACATTTGCACATTAAAGACTGAGGATATTACGAGTGTCACGTTGTCATGGAAACATTCAGGCAAAAAAAAAAAAAAAAAGTTACCGAAGACCCGGTCCTGACTATTAAGGTCAGCGCCATTTAAACAGAAATCTTGGCATATTGCATAAAACTGAGGTAGGACCTAATTAATGCGTCAGTTCTGCTCATGTATTAACAAGTTCACAAACCACCGGAGTATCCTAGGGTGATCAATCGTGTCAGCGCTGAGATAGAAACCAACCGTCCTAAATATCAGGATGCACTGCAGATGGTCCCTCGTTGCGGGTTTTCTCCGCTCTGGATCATCGTGTTACGGTACAGGGATTAGGCGTGTTGGTAGGTGCAAAGTGCACTGCACTTCCTGCAAAGGCAGGCCCTTATTTTCACATGTTGAGCCCGTGTACAGTCTTCACAGCGACGGGAACCTTTCATCTTCTATTTCCGCTGTATTCCGGACCGTCATTATTTGTTGCACTGTGGCTATGAGGGTGACCACATATCCATCAGTGGATGCTTTCTTAATGTGGACCTTCAGTTTTGGGGTCCTGGACTTGGCCGCTGGTTCTACAGTTGTTCCCGCCGCCGCGGCGTACGTCTTCCCTGCCTCGCTGCGGCCGATGGGTACGTAGAGTCCGGGATATTGCTTCCTCCGTTGCTGCTCCAGCTTGGCTCCAGTACACCCTATGCAGATGCTGGGGCACTGCGCCTCGCAATTACTACACTTCTGTTTTCTGGCTTCATTTCCGGGCAATCCAGACGTCGATGGACATCCCCGCACAGTGGGCATCTTAGGCTTGCTTGCAGTGAATCCAGATTCAGCCAAAACCTTGGCAGTTGTAGCACTGCATTAGAGCAGTCTGGGCCATACATGCTTCGATTTCGGACATGATACTGAACAATGACTTAAACTAAAGAGTCAGAGACTTCTGGCAGCACACCAGAATGACAAGGCAGAGGAGCAGAGAAATTAAGGTTATTGGACCCTGAGGTGAGGGTCATCTTGTTGTCATTTTCTCTAAGCTTAATCAGTATGAAATAAATAATCAAATTAAAAGCAAGTAATTCATTCAGTCATCAATGGCTCTACAGCTCTTTGTTGGCCCCTGGCCGCTTCTTCAGTTACGTAATCTTTATTATACGCGCGGTAGAACTCCTTGGGCGGGGAGAACAGCCCGTCGCAAGGCCGCTACCTATACAAAGGACAACACAAACACAATGAACTCATACAGAGACATCTATGCCTTGAGCGGGTAAAGATAAGTAATGATCTCTTAAATTATTTTGTAGGAACTTCAGCAATTAATTCATAAACATATACATAAACAAAAGTGGCACAGAAATGAAGTTTGTACCTCACTGTGGTAGAGCCCGAAAAACTTCGCTTATATGAAAGCACGGCACTGCACTTTATTCTGAGACAGTTCCATCCACTTCCCATCTTCATCCTGTGTGCGAAAGATCAATATGTTTCCGTTGTTGCCTATTACCTCAGTTACGTTATGTAAATAAGTGTTACAAATACAACTGTAAAACGTGGAGAAACGTAGCCTCGTTTTCAGTACACATATCTTCCAGCAGCGTTGTGTGGTGTTTAGCAAGCATCACTGGCTTTGATGCTAAATTACGGCAGATGGAGATATATTGCACCAAAACTGAACCGTTACACTAAAGTCAGAAATGCGTTCTAATATTCCCTCANAGCTGTTCATGTAGAAGATGGTTTGAAATGAATAATACAGAATGTCCGGATGAAAGCTATCCAAAATAAAATAATTATATCTCGGAAAGCTTGTATTATACACATTTATGGGTTCCACCACTACAAAGGGAAACTATCAAAGTTTTTTCTGAGTATATAACTTTCCCAATAAATTTCAACGTGGGCTCCCTTGGTGGCACGACAAATATCCAGACGATCCGGCATGTTTGGTGTTACCATAGCCACAGCGTCCCTTATGCGACCTTCCAGGTGTTGCAAGTCGTTAATCTTAATCTGGCAGACAATGTTCTTCACATAACCCCAGAAGAAAAAATTCAGTGGAGTTAAATCTGGCGAACTAGGTGATCTACTTCTGCCAATCTATCTCCCAGCCATCATTCTGCCCAAGTGATTCCTAACATGGTGGCAGAAATGTTGCGGCGCATACGCGTAAGCCGGGCATAAAAAAGACTCAGAGGGTTTTCCTCTCCGATGACATA